GATATTCCCCGAAAGGGCGCGGGCCCAGGGTTCTTTTTTAGAATTGTTTTGTTTCCCCCGGGTTTCGGCTGGCACAAATGTCTGCGAGAGAGCGAGACAATGGTTTTTGAAATCCCGATCGAGAAATCACAGGGTGCGGGGCACATTTCGGTCAGGCGCACGAATCCGCGTGTTTTTACGTATGTTGCTATAGATTGGCCCTCTCCAGGAGGCCCCAGGAGGTCCCAGGTCACCCAGAGGGGTTATCCAACATGGGTGTCCCGAGCTGGAACCATGTGTTTGTACGTGTCCAGGCCACCCAGTGGGGTATCTAACATGATTGCCCCGAACTGGAACTTTGCGTTTTTACGTGTCCAGGTCCAGGCCACCCAGGAAGTTATCTAACACCTCTGTCCCGAGCAAGGACCGCTTGTTTCAATTGTCCAGGCCACTTCGGAGTGTATCTAACATGGTTGTCCCAAGCTGGCACCACGTGTTTTTACGTGTCCAGGCCACACAGGGGGGTATCTAACATGGCTGTCCCGAGCAAGGACCACGTGTTTCTTGAGCCATGTGTTTTCACGTGTCCAGGCCACACAAGGGGGCTCTGACGTGATTGTCCCGAGCAAGGGTCACGTGTTTTAACACGTCCAGGCTACCCCCGGGTGTATCTAACATGGTTGCCCCGAGCAAGGACCACGTGTTTTTACGTGTCCAGGCCACCCAGGGGTGTATCTAACATGGTTGCCCCGAATTGGAACCACGTGCTTTCACGTGTCAAGGCCACCTATGGGGGCGTTATCTAACATGATTGACCCGAGTTGGAACCAGGTGGTTTTACGTGTCCAGGCCGTACAGGGGGGTATTTGGCATGGCGGAATCAGGTGCTTTAACGTTTCCAGGCCACCTAGGGGGTATTCAACATGGGCCTCCTGTTCTGTATTGGGATATGTGCTCGGGGAGCGCTTTTCGCTTCCCTCGAGCCTCCAGGAGGCCCCAGGAGGCTCGAGAAGCGTGAGAACATATCGGATCCTAACGCCCCAGGGCGGGACAAGCATGACAACACATGGGCTCCTAACGCCCCTGGGCAGGGGAAGCGCGAAAACACATGGGTTCTTTCGCCCCAGGGCGGGACAAACGTGAAAACACATGGGTTCCGAATGCCCCACGGCAGGAGATACGTGAAACCACATAGGTTCCTAACGCCCTATGGCGGGGCAAGCTTGAAAACACATGGTTCTTAACGCCCCAGGGCGGGGCAAGCGTGAACACACATGGGTTCCACAACGCTCTGGGGCAGCTACTATGTGCTCAGGTAGCTCGAGCTCAAGATCCATATCAGTTCGGTCCGGACTCGGATACAAAGGAGGACTCGACCCAAGACACTACTATAGAACACAATCGCGGCATGGCACATCGCAGTTCAGCACGGCGCAGCATAGCACAGCCTTCGGAACGGTACATCAAGATCGATCGACTCAGCAACGCAACCTGGTACGTTCCTTGGCACGTTCTGTGGCGCGTCCCGTGGCGAATCCCTCTGGCACGTCGCGCGGCGCGTCCCCTGGCACGTCCCGTGGCACGTCCATTGCCACGTTCCGTAGCGCGTCCCCTTGGCACGTCCCGCGGTGCGTCCCCCTGGCACGCCCCCTGACACGTCGCTTGGCGCGTCCCATGGGACGTTCCGCGGCGCGTCCTCCTTGCTGCCCCCCTGTCAATTAGCTCTGGTGCAGCTACTATGTGCTGAGGCAGCTCGAGCTTAAGATCCAGATCAGTTCGGTCAGGACTTGGATGCAAACGAAGACGCGATCTACAACGTCATTGAGCACAATCGCGGCATGGCACATCGTAATTCAGAACGGCGCAGCACAGCACAGCCCTCGGCACGGTACATCAAGATCGACAGACTCAGCATTGCTTTTACCGGTCACCTAATCACGTGTATTTGAAACGTTGCCATGCCTTATATTTCTACATTGCTTTCCGGGCTCGTGGGTCGATCATGTTCCCGTAAAGGGCGCGGGCCCAAGGTTCTTTTGTAGTATCGTTGTGTTTCCCCCCGACTTCGGCCAGCAAACTTATTGGCTATAAATAACACGTATTCGGCGTGGACAAGTTGAGGATGTCCTTAGCGAAACGCTCGCGTTGCGTTTGAAATCCCGATCGATAAATCACAGGGTGCCGGGCACATTTGGGTAAGGGGCACGAATCCGTGTGGTTTCCATGTGTTCCCATAGACTGGCCCTCTCCAGGGGCACGAATCCGTGTGTTTTTAGGAAGGCTCCTGTAGATTGGTCCTCTTGATGAGGCACCACGAGGTCCCAGGACACCCAGGGGGTATCTAACATGGGTGTCCCGAGCTGGAACCATGTGTTTGTACGTGTCCAGGCCACCCAGTGGGGTATCTGACATGATTGCCACAAACTGGAACCACGTGTTTTTACGTGTCCAGGCCACAGGGGGATATCTAATTTGGTCGTCCCGAGCAAGGACTGTATGTTTTAACGTGTCCAGGCCACTCAGGGGTGTATCTAACATGGTTGTCCCAAGCTTGCACCATGTGTTTTTACGTGTCCAGGCCACCCAGGGGGGGTATCTAACATGGCTGTCCCGAGCAAGGACCATGGTTTGAAAGTTTCCAGGCCACCCAGCATGTGTTTTTACTTATCCAGGCCACCCGGGGGGTATCTAACATGGTTGCCCAGAGCTGGACCCACGTGTTTTTACGTGTCCAGGCCACCCAATGGGGTATCTAACATGATTGCCCCGAACTGGAACCATGTGTTTTTCCGTGTCCAGGCCACCCAGGGGGATATCTAACATGCAGTCGGGCCCAACGCCGAATTATCAGGAGACGTTTGGGAGCCCAAAAGCGCTACCCGAACACATATCCCAAAACCGCTACCTGAAGTGTTTTTACGCATCCGGTGTACATTCATCCGGTTTTAATTCGTCCGGATTAAATTCATCCGGTTTTAATTCGTCGGGTTTACATTCATCCGATGTTAATTCGTCCGGTTTAAACTTATCTGGTTTTCATCCGCCTTTTCAAATTCATCCGGTTTTACTTCGTCTGGTTTAAATCCATCCTGTTTTAATTCGTTTGGTTTAGTTTCATCTGGCTTTCACCCCCCCCAATTTCCACACGAATCACGCAAAACACAGCGGACGAAACAGAAGCGGACGAAATAAATGCGGACGAAACAAAAGCGGACGAAACAGAAGCGGACGAAACAAAAGCGGATGAAACAGAAGCAGACGAAACAAAAGACGGACGAAACAAAAGCGGATTAAACAAAAGCGGATTAAACAAAAGCGTACGAAACATTATCCCAGTGCGACCCTACCTAGGAGTTGGAACCCCTAGGACAGCAGCATTAGTAGTAGCAGTAACGCTAAGCTAAAGGTAAGCTAAAGCTAAGCTAAAGCTAAGCCACAGCTAAGCTACAGCTAAGCTAAATCTAAGCTAAAGCTAAGCTAAAGCTAAGCTAAAGCTAAGCTAAAGCTGAGCAACAGCTCAGCTAAAGCTAAGCTACAGCGAAGCTAAAGCTAAGCTGAAGCTAAGCTAAAGCTAAGCTAAAGCGAAGCTGAAGCTAAGCTACAGCTAAGCTAAAACTAAGCTAAAACTAAGCTAACGCTAAGCTAAACGCTAAGCGAAAAGCTAAGCGAAACGCTAAGCTACAGCTAAGCTAAAGCTAAGCTAAAGCTAAGCTAAAGCTAAAGCTAAAGCTAAAGCTCCCAGGGGACTGGGGGGAACCGCTCCCAGGGGACTGGGGGAACCGCCCGGGGCGTGTTCCACTGCCCGGTCCCTTTAAGCTAAGAGAGTAAGAACCCTTCTAGGCAGAGCCTAGGTAGGGAAGAAGTGGATGAAATAAAAGCGGATGAAACAAAAGCTGATGAAACAAAATTTATACCGTTACGAACCCCCCACCAACCGCCTTCCGAACGTCCAGGGTGGGTTTTCGACCCTCCCCGGCGCTGGCAAACGACGACGACGACGACGAGAACATTGGGTGTAGTAAGTGTGTCCCGCCCGCCCGCCAGGGTGAACAGGTCCTGGCCGTTGTCGTCGTCGTCGTCGTTGTCGTCGTGGGCGAGTCAGTCGGTCGGGCCAGCGGGCGGACGAGATACGTCGTCGTTGTCGTCGTCGTCGCCGTCGCCGCCGTCGTCGTGGGCAAGTCGGTCGTGAGGGCGGGACACGTCGTCGTCGTCGTCGTCGTGTCGTCGTCGTCGTCGTCGCCGTCGCTGTCGCCGTCGCCGTTGCCGTCGCCGTCGCCATCGCTGTCGCCGTCGCCGTCGCCGTCGCCGTCGCTATCGCTTTCGCCGTCATTACCATCACCGCCGCCGTCGCCATCGTCGCAGTCGCCGTCGCTGTCGCCGTCTCCGTCGCCGACGCCGTCGCCGTCGCCGTCGTCGTCTTCGTCGTCGTCGTTGTCGTCGTCGTTGTTGTGGGCGAGTCGGTCGGGCGGGCGGGCGGGACACGTTGTCGTCGTCGTCGTCGTCGTCGTCGTCGTGTGAGTCTGTCGGGCGGTCGGGGTACGTCGTCGTCGTCGTCGTCGTCGTCCTCGTGCTCTTCCTCGTCCTCGTCCTCGTCCTCGTCTTCCTCGTCCTCTGCTGGCGCGGGGGTGGGGTTCGAGCCCCCCTGGACTTTCAGAGGGGAGGGGGGGATTCGACCTCCCCCCGACGGTCAGTTTCGAGGGGATGGGAAGTATGGTGCGGGTTCTCGCCGGGGGGAGCTCCAGTTTTGGAAAGGAGGAGGGGGGGATTTTTGGAAGGGGGGAGGGGCGCGTCCAGGTTCCAGGCGGGGTGGCAGAGGATGAGGATTGGGATTTTGCTTCCTTGCAGCGTGCACAGGTGTCGCTCTCTCAGAGATCTGGAGGCCCGTGTCCCGAGAAAATCGAGCCGGTTTTTGTCTGGGTAGGTGCCTTCCTAGCCAAGCCAGGAGGGCGTCTGCACCGATCATGGGTCTATGGGCGGGGCTCGCTCGGATCTGTATTGGTGCATAGTCGGCGACCTCTCAGGCAAGCTCCACGGGGTCATCCCGGGGAGGCCCGTTGTCCTGGACAACAGGTGGTTACTGAACTTCCTGGGGCTCGGCAGCAGCCTCGCGCTGAGCGTCATGTTCTGCCGCCCCTCGTTCTACCGCACTGCCTACGGCGGGCTGTGTCTGCTTGCCAACACGGCGATCTGGGGCGGCCTTGGGGCCAACATGGTGTTGCCGATCGGCGGCGCGGACATGCCCGTGGTGGTGTCATTGCTCAACGCCTTTAGCGGCCTCGCGACCAGCGCCGCGGGCTTCATGCTGTCTAACAACCTGCTCACCATCACGGGCGCGCTGGTTGCCTCTAGCGGCACCTCGGGGGGACCGAAATCGGTACGGAATCGACGGGTAAAAAGTCCAACAGCAGCTCTTGCTCATTGTGTACAGGATTCGTTGTCGGCGTCGCCGCGGTCGTTGTGCGTTTGAGACACAAACTCGCCTGCCCAACATCGGCCGCTGTCGGTTTTGGAGAATGTTGGGCACCGTACCCATTTTTCCGTACCCCTTTAGGGCGTCTTGAGGCACTCTTTTGAGCGACATCATGTGCCGCGGAATCAACCGCTCCATGGGCAGCGTGCTGCTGGGTGGCTTCGGCACCGACGGTAGCACCGTGCCAGGCGGCGCCGTGGGGCCCGTCGGCAATGTGACAGAGGCGCCCGCCGCGGCCGGGCCGAGCGGGGGGAGACGCTGCCCACCTCACCGATTGGTCGACGACTTCCATCGATGACTCCACCGACGATCGACGGCGAAGACGACGAGGCCTTCGTCGACGCCGAGAGGGCGGGCCCGGGCCCGCGCTCTGCATTCGCTTGCGCTGCCGAGCGTTTATCCACCAGCGTGCTTTTGCAGAGTTTGTCCGCGCCCGCTGACCACAAAGGGTCCGCCACCGGGCTCTGGGGCTGCAGAGGCCCTGGGGTTTAGGCCTCTCCGACGGGTCAGGGCAGAGGGGCTCGGAGGATCGCGCCGCATCGCCGATGTATCGGCGATGCGGCTCAATGTGGAGCTCGATCTTCTCCGCGCCGACGTCGCCGATGCATCGCCGAGGTCGCCGATGCATCGCCCGATGCATCGGCGATGCGGCGTAGTCCTTCGACCCCATCTGCTCCAACCCCATCTGGGAGGCCCCTAGCGGCTGGGCCCAGCGGGGCGAGGCGCTGCCCACCTCACAGGCCCGTTCTCTACGTCCAGTTGCCCTGCCGTGTGTATCCGCCAGCGCTGCGTGCTGGTGCGCAGTCTGTTCGCGCCCGCTGGCCAAAGAGTGTGCGCCAACTGAGCGGCGGAGAGAAACGGGCTAGACTGTGCGGACATTGGCGCGTGAGCTGCCGGCGTAAAATCGCGCGGAAGCTCCCTCGTCTCTACAGTAGCGTGCCGCTCTAGCGGCCCACGCAAGCCGCGGCGTAAGCTCGCTATGTCATCGCGCGTAAGACCCGTTTCTTTTCGTCACCTGGCTCAGGGGGTGCGGGAGCCACGCGGGGTGGGTCAGGGGGACCGGATCCGCGAAAGATCCTGTCAGTGGCACTGAGTGTGTTGTCTGAGGACGGAAAACACGAGGACTTGGATCCACAGTTGGGCGCATGTTGAGTTGGATCCGTGGTGGAACCCACACAATTGCTTCGCAAGAAGCCGAACTAATAGAGTCGGCGAGAGGCCCGACACACAACTCGCTGCACAGCGCGGAGGTGTTCACCTGGCAGACTCTGATGCGGTCGCGAGTGGAGGCGGAGGAAGAAGAGGACACACCCAGACTAGCGCTGCCCTATTGGTCGTGAATTCTTGCTTCTCGTGGAGAGGTTCAGGAAGGGGTCCAGCGGACAGGAGATTGCTCTCAGAAACTTATGTGCTCCCCTTTTGTGTTATAATCCTAGGTGTCACCCATGGGCTTCGTGAACATGCTCCTCGGTGCCAAGCGCGTGGTCATCGTGCCCGGTGCGGGGGACGTGACTGGACCGAGGGAAAAAAGTGGACAGAGGGTAGCAGAGCGGAGTAGAGATGAGTTGAGAGGAGGGGGGAGCGGAGATGAGGAGAGGCAAGGGATCAGGAAGGACGATAGAAGGGAACCTTCTCAGAGGAGAGAGAGAGAGAGAGAGATAGAGAGAGAGAGAGAGGGACAAAAAAACAAACATAAAGAGAGAGAGGTTATAAATGCAAGAGCATGCCGTTCCACGGCATTACGTGAGCAGAATTGTTTTGCCCATTTGAAGTGCCCGAGGTTTGCGACAACGAGTCCCCGATGGTCTGGAGCCCTCGAGCCCTAAGACAACCTTCAAGCAAGCATGCTACACGCTGTGGTGTGGGGGAAGGTGAAATCCGTGTTGGATAACGGTGGAGATTGGAGGATGCAGGGAGGGGGAAGGCGAGACGAGCTCTGGGGGAGCACTCCTTCATTTTTCATTTTGTGTGCCCCGTGCCTCACCATTTTCAGCTCGATCGCGTCATTTCTAGGCTTGTGGTTTGGACGGATCGGTGGCAGACGCGTGGGACGCAAGGATCAACTCAGAAGTGCAGTCAGAGGTCGGGCGCTGCTCCTGCGCCATGGCGCCAGGAGAGGGGTGCCAGGCAGCTGGCCCCGGACAATGGTCGGAAGCTGCGGGTGGCAGATTCGACCAACGTGTCATGTTTGCTAACGCTGTGGTGCTACTGAACAACAGGCTGGGCCCGAGTTAGAGTCACTTTGATCTTTGGACCATTGGACCGCGGAGGTGCGACAGCGCGAGGCCTAAGTGGAACCCGTTGTCCGTGACTCCTTCCCTCGCCGCTGCAGAGGACCGGCGCTGGCCACCTCGTGTGGCGGGACCCTCCTCGCTGCCGCCGCGACCCGGGTCCACAGTGTGCGCATCCCTGGGCGCTTGGGCATCGGCCCCGCCCCTTAGCCGACCACGGCCCGTCCACGTCCGAGCTCGACGTGGAACCGCCCCGGCCGAGGAGCCGAGAGGGAGAGCGGCTCGGCCGACCGTTCGGGGGCCCCCAAACGGGGTGGTGACCGCACCTCGTGGTGAGTCAGTGGGGACCCAGGGTCGCCGCCTGGTTCTCGGCCTCGGCCTCGGGCCGTTCTCCCGGGAACCAGGGCCCCCAAGCCGTGCGGTGACGGATCGCGCGGTGAGGTCGTTGGAAAGAGAGACTCCGAGGTCACCACGCGGTCCGTCACAGAGGTCACCACGCAGTCCGTCACCATGCGGTTTCTGGGCCCCGAAGATCGACACCCGACGACGGTCCAGTGTCCAGGGGAGCCGCTCCACTCGGGCCTGCTCTTCCCGTTTCAGGACCCGCCCAGCCCCACGAGACTCGGAGACGGGGATCACGGTACACATCGGTTCCCGTCGATCGAGCGCAGGCGCAGGAGACGAGAGCGCAGGAGCAGCCCCGCTCGCCGCGGTGGGCCGGCAGCGGAGGACGACCGACGACGGCGGCGAAGCGACGGTCGACGAAGGGTTGACGACGGCGCCGGCGGCAGCGACGGCGAGTAGGAGCGGCGGACGGAGTCTACGGCGAGCGGCCTCGGCCGTCGTCTTCGCACGGCGGCGAGCGACGGCGGCGGCGGCTGCGCCGACGCGGCCGAGCCGCGCGCCCCCTGGAAGGGCCGGGGGAAGGGGGGGCGGGCGCAGGCTACGGCCTGGCGGTGGCGCGCTGCCAGCAGAGGCTGGCGGACGTGGTGGCGCTGCTGCGCAGCCACGGCGTGGCGGGGGCCCTGGCGGGCAGGGCGCGCCGCCCCGGCGGCCCGGCGAGGGATGACGGCAACGCCAATGGCGATCACGGCGACCGTGATGACGACGGCGAAGACGGCGAAAATGACGAAACCGACGATCTGCTGCTGCCGATTATTATGAGGATGGTGATGCTGATGCTGATGCTGCTGATGATGGTGATGACGATGATGATGGTGATGATGCTGATGATGCTGCTGCCGATTATGATTGTTATGACGGTACTGATGACGCTGATGATGAATATGATGATGATGACGATGATGTTGACGGTAATGATGATGATGATGATGATGATGATGATGCTGATGATGATGATGATGCTGATGTTGATGCTGATGCTGATGCTGATGCTGATGATGATGATGATGCTGATGAGAATGAGGATGAGGATGGGGATGATGATGATGACTATGATGATGCTCTTGCTGATGATGATGCTGATGGTGACGATGATGCGGCTGCCGATTATTACCATGACGCTGATGATTTTGATGCTGCTGATGATGCTCATGCTGATACTGATGATGATGATGATGA